CTTGAGCTCAATAACATGTCTAACAGATTGACATATTATTAATCTTTCACATAAAATCTTAGATGACCCTTCTCATCCACTCATTTTAAAACTCAGCTCATCGCGTCAATGTGCCACTAGAGACTGCAATGACCAATTAACAGCACTGATCTTGGGCTTAACCTTCTGGACATTGAGATTTATACAAGTTTCTTATTGTTCTCCTGTTGAAAATTCTGTTTGTGACCAGGCTTGAGCTTCAGGTCAGAAGATACTGATTTTTGACTAAAATCTCCTGGTATACTTTGAAATCCACCAGTTCTTCAGTTCTATCTAGGACAGCTGGTCTAGAGGAAGCATACCACCTCTAAAGTAGAACAGACCCATTTCTGCTCTCCACATAAGGTTTGCTATTCTGGTTTACCATCAGCTTCAGCTTTCGACCAATCATATGGTCTCAGCTATTGGGATTCAATTACTGTACTCACTCATGTCTCACTATGGAAATCCTACAGTCCAGAATGGATTCATGAGGCCAGTGATGAAAAGAGAGAGAGTGTCTTTATTATCCCCAGGGGACAAGTTGTTTTACAGCAGCAGTGTTGGTGTACATTGGTGTACAGACAAACAGGAAAAAAAAGACAGGACCAACAATATACAGACATATTTACATTGAAGGTCAAGAGGTAAGTAAGGATATGGCTACAGGTATGAATGAGAACTTAAATCTGTTGGTTTTGGAGTTGGGGAGTCAGTATCTGCGTTCTGATGGGAGTAACCGGAAATTATTAAACAAGGGGTGAGAAGGATCATCACAGATGGATTGTGCTTTACGCAAAACACATGAATGGAGAGGGCTGGAAGATCAGCACCAATGAGTAGTAAAAGTTAGAACAGATTCAAGGAAGAGGTCTAGTTACCCACCCATCTTTCTGGGTTCACATTGAAAACCTTTAATCTACCCCATTAGACATGATCCTCTAGATTGTGAACACCACAGTCAGAACTCTCATGGATATATTACCTTTTGGATGGCTTAAGAGTACAGCTGTTTAGCAGATTTACCCCCTTCAGAATCCTCCACAGGGTAGCCCAGAAGATCTGGATCCTTATCAGCATCATGCACCCGGTTGAGTTTCCCATTAGTAAAGTACCACGTGCTGTCATCTGCGTGGATGAACTCAGATAATTTGAGTCCATAGTGTTGTACATAGTGAAGGACTAGTCTGAAAATACCACAAGAGTTACAGAACACAGAACATTTAAATGCAGAGATGAGAAATATCAGAATGCTAATTCCTCTGTTAGGTAACTGTTGTCTTAAACAGATACAGTATGATCATGTTAATATGAAGATATAATAGTTCCGCCACAAAACTGTTGATTCTCATATTAAAATCCAGCAGTAGGACAAGAAATTCTCTGTTTACAACTGATTTTTGTGCAATATATGCTGGGGAGTTGTGCAATATATTTATAATGTGAGATACATCTTTTTGTGTACTGTACATTCTAGTTTGTTTTGTATCTTCTGTACTGTGAGCAGTTCTGTATACTCCATTTTTTACTTTTAACTGCACTTCTCACTGACTGTACTGACAGTATTGTATTGTTGTATTATTGTATCATTTTGTTACACTGTGCTGTGTTGACTATGCCAGGCTGCTGTTGCACTGCAATTTCTCTCACAGAATTAATAAAGTATCTATTACTGTTTAATAAACTTAATTAAGAATAATTGTGATGTAACAGAAAGCAATTTTAATTAATTACAACATGATCCATCACTTGGAGAATTTCTTAGTGACAGTTCCATTATATTACATTTTCACTATATACGGGAACATTCTAACGTGATCCAGCAGCCATATCACTCTGCAACTCACAACTGGCAACCCACTGAAGCTAAGCAGGTGTGAGCCTGGTCAGTACCTCCTGCGAGGCCTCCTGGGAAAAATCTAAGGTTGCTACTGGAAGAGGTGTTTGTGGGGCCAGCAGGGGGCGCTCACCCTGTGGTCCACGTGGGTCCTACTGCCCCAGTATAGTAAGGGGGACACTATACTGTAAACAGGTGCCGTCCTTCGGATGAGATGTAAAACCGAGGTCCTGACTCTCTGTGATCATTAAAAATCCCAGGGCGTTTCTCGAAAAGAGTAGGGGTGTAACGCCAGTTATTCATCCTGGCCAAATTTCCCATTGGTCCTTACCAATCATGGCCTCCAAATAATACCCATCTATGAATTGGCTACATTACTCTGCTCTCCTCCCCACTAATAGCTGATGTGTGGTGAGCGTTCTGGCACACTATGGCTGCCGTCACATCCAGGTGGGGCTGCACATTGGTGGTGGTGGAGGGGAGTCCCCATTACCTGTAAAGTGCTTTGAGTGGGGTGTCCAAAAAAGCGCTATATAATTGTAAGCAATTATTATTATCCAATGTTCTGCTTAGTACGCTACCAAGATGCTTAAACTATTGTATCTGAGGAGGTTAAAGTTAGTTCCCCACTTTTATAACCACTAGAGGACAGCAGCTGTTACTTTGGTTTCATTGCAATTGAGAACAAGTTAGTAAAGGGCTGCTTACTAATATCAGCGACCAAGTTCATTGCAATTGTTCTTAAAGTACAGTAACACACTAGTTTAATATGGAGCTGCATGCTAACCATGTGTTCACAATTTCAGGCCAATATTGTTAAATAGCCTGGCATGACCATTTAATTACTCAGCTGCACCAATAATCACAGTTTTGTTCTACCAATTTACTCAATAGGAAAAAGTTAAACATCAGCACTATTTCAGCTCATCTTGCGCCTTATCAAATCCTGAAGCTAGCACTCCAGGGAAACACTCACTCATGAGTTGCAGGAATTCTCATGGCGCCCAGCTCTGCATGCCAGCCCCTGCTCTCATTCCTGTAGGTGAGAATGCGCCCTCCAACTCGGTCACTGGCTTCCAAGATCTGGACCTGTAGAGAACAAGTCACTATGGGTACAGAGGACAAGGGTAACAGGACTGTGACAGGCCTACCTCTCAGCTGCTGACTGATGGGAACCAAGCACACTTAAATTAAATTACTGTGAAGAAACTTTATTCAATCAAAGGACTATACTCAACACAAAACCCAACACTTACTACCACGCTAAGTGTCTCTTAATGAACCAAACTAAGTCCAAATTAATCTTTTGTTAGAATACGGCCTGCAGATCCTTCACCCTTTATTTAATTAGTCCTATGATGAATCATGTAATGCAGTTTTCGATGAACAGAAGACCTAATGACCTCTAGTGGCAGGTCAGCTGAAACGATTATATTAATTAATGCTGACACAATGCAATGACAGGTTCCTGCTGGGATACTATTGGCAATAATATATTGGCAAGAATATTCCTGCAAAAAAACTAAGGCGGTGGAGAGTGGTAGCCAATAGAAAATAAATTGTGTCCTGCCTGGGATATTTTAATGGTTCCTTTGCTCAACACCATTCTGTGCCTGATTCTCCATGTGGTATCATCAATCCCAAGTGTGTTCTGTGTCAGTGTATATGTGCTAGAAGTGGCATTTATGTGGCCCAGAGCTCCACCTTCTATGCATGGGTCCTTTCTGCTTGTTTCCTCCTGGTACACCAGTTCTCAAATGGAATAAAGCAAGCCAACCACCTGAAGAAATACTTTTTAAAAATGCTGAAAACAAGAATTCCTGAATGTGTTCGTTTTAAAGGTGCTGTTTCCAAATTTTATTACTGACAATACAACATCCACAAAATATTCCTGTTTTGCAAATTATGTTGCTTTCTGTCCATAAATTATTTTACATCACATCTAATTTTAAAAAAAAACAACTCATGGCCACCTGGCACCAAAGCAAATTAGGCCATTGTGAATGCAATTTATGTTTTTTAAGAAAATAAATAAACATGAGAACAGACCATAAAATCTTTGCTGAATCAATATTGCAATATTGTCCCCAAAATTCAAACCGGAGCAGAAGAGTAATATAGTGTCAGTGGATGAGGTGTGGAAGGATTTACTCAGTCCTGAGCCACCTCAGTTACCATGAGCACCAGGCAGGATTCTAACACCTTCCATCCTCCAGCACCCCATATCAGCCAGCTCTGCCAAAAGGATTGTCAAGCAGTTGGGCAGAGATGGAATTGCTAAACCAATCTTAACCTGCTCTATACTAGAATAATGTACATGAGAGACCAACATGTTTTATAAATACAAGGCTGGAACATTATAATATCTGTCCCCCACAAATCAGAAAAGGTGTCTGAGACTCAGTTCATGGAGCATCTAGTATCTTCTGTTTTGTTCCTCCTGAGTTTCATAGTTTGTCCACATGATTAATGTCATAAGATAAGATAAGATCACTTTATTAGCCATATACAATTTCTTGCATTAGGAAATTGTGTTTTCGCACACCCCAGCTTGCTCTCCATGAGACACACAGACACACAGACAGGGAGAGAACCGCAGGGTCAGCCATTTATACGGCACCCCTGGAGCAGCTGGGGTTAAAGGCTTTACTCAAGGGCCCAACAGGATAGGATTTCTCTGCCAGCCACAGGATTTGAACCTTCTAGCCACAGGAGCAGATCCTTAGCCACAGTGCCACCGCTCCACCCGGTAACAAGTACATTACCAGACAAGTATGGTCATTTATAAGTATGGTCATTTAATTACTGCTATTAGCAATGTGATTGTTTTCACAAATCAGCTGTCCAAGACCTTAAGAAGTACAAAACAAGCCTGTAGATGTCTAACTGTGAAAATCATGGAGTTGGAACAAAAATAAGAAGACGCTAGACCCTCTAGGAGCTGAGGGTGAGACTCCTGCCTCCTGAGACAGGGAAAGTTATACGTTGTGTCCGGCATCCTCCAGGAGTTTTGCAGCGATTAATCCAGAGATCCCTGCTCCGACAATCACAAAGTTCTTCGGAGGGCCAGTCCTGATGAGGCCTTGCTTCACGTCTTCCAGCAGGTGCTCGTAATCGTTATCCCGGAAACACTGCTGAGTGACGCTGCTGCCTGCTTGCACATGCACTAAGAGCGCCACAAAGCAGCCCGGCAAGACATCTTGGGAGAGAACAGCAATATTAGGTTAGGCACAGGACATAAAAGCATTAACATGTGCCATACAGGGCAAAGAACTTATAAAAAACTATACAGAGGTACAAATTAATAAACCAGACAGTGAATACACTTATTTCTGTGAGTTCGACAGACATAATAACATTTTAATCCACAAGGCCCAGTGACTCAGATTCTTAGGTCCTAGAACAGCCCAGGCTGGAGGACCTTTCTATATTTTCTTAAAAGCTAAATGCATGTTAATGAAACAGATTTCCTATGTGAGCTTTTGTTTGAATGTTTATTTTCAGCGATGAGTATAGATCAAATCAATGAAAACACAGCCTTTGTCCTGTGAGCCTTACAACTCTTGGGCCAATGAAGGTACAACAGAGGGCCAGCAAAAATACAACCAGCTACACTGTGTGGCAAATGGCATCAGAGACATCAAGTCATTAGTCTTTTCTTGTCTCTCTTCATCCCACTGACTGATGCTCCCTGCTTGAACCCTTACCTGTACACTGTACAGCTAGCACTCAGAGAAGCATCAAGTTCTGGGAGGTGAACTGTTTAGGAGGCTTGATTAAGGGATTTCTCTGTCATGACAATCTCATCAAAACTGCCTCACTAACAGGACAATAACTCCTTTGCAACCACTTAACAGGATGAAGTTAAATTCAGAAATGAGAAGTTAAAATTAAAATCAGACTTTAAGATTTTCAATTAATCATTTTTACACAATAAGTCAATTACACTTTTAATTTGCAAATAAACATTTAGTTTTAACATAAAATGCAGTTGAGCTGAAAAACTTCCAGAATAGCTTATGATTTAATGAGAATCGTTAGAGAGAGAATCAAAAGAACATAGTTACTTGCACATGATGCCATGGTCCCAAGCTGCATTTTTCCTTTCTATAAAGTAAAACAAGCACAATCAGACCTTTGCACTGAGGTACCATCTTAGCTATATAGTACCGGAGAGTCCGACTGGTAGGAGTTGCTGGTGTGGAGATGAGCACTAGAGTGCATCGCAGTTTGCTGAATTACTCAATTAATCCCAAAAAAATGCATACCTGTTACAACTCCCTGGAAGTCGACTCAGTTTGGGTGATCGTTTAAACCAGAGGCTTAAACCAATGTCCATTTAAGAAACAAAAAGACAACAGTTCTAAATAATAGGGTTATTTTATCACAGCTATGCTATGTGGGATTCAATTTTAAAACTATCAGTTTTTCAAAAGAGCTGCATGAATAATTATTTTAATGAGACATTAAAAATAAGTGCACAAGTAGAACATGCATGTTTCCTTCACTAGAATCCAAAATAATAGTATTTTTGTTGGGTTTCCCTTCTGAAAAAGGTTTCAAATTGTCACTTACCTGGAGGGATGATCTTGTCGCACTCAGAGTTGGGAATCCAACTTTTGCCTTTGTGCCTCGTATTTATATCTTCTCTGCAGCAGGAAGGAAAGACATCTGCGCCTCACAGTCACTTAACTCGTTTTTCCAGAAAGTGGTTCGCCCAAGAAACCGTGCAGGAAAAATTATTCATTTTGTTTATTGATAATTTGCTTTTATTTCACAATATGAATTAAAGGCAAAGAATGGATGAGAAGCAAAAAGGATTGCATAACATGAAAAACAGCAGTAAGTGAGAGCTATAGTAGCTTCATACTTTGACAAAAAGTACATGTTGCCAGCCCCTAAGGAAATTAAAAGAACCCAGTCCTATCACACAGCCTCTTTTTGTGAAGCAAAGCGTGAAGATGAGATTTTCTGTAAATTCCTCCAACATCTTTCTCAAAACATATTGTTTCTTTTGTGAGGAAACAAGCTATGTTTTAGATTTGTCTTTCAGTGGGGGAGTCCAGTCTCTTTAGACAACATATTGTTAACAAAGGTAGGTTTGTGTTTGGCATTAACCCACTGACCATGGGTTAAGTGTGTGTGAGTGCGTGCTTGTGTCTGTCTGCCCTGGTTCCTTGAGATACTTTCCCATCAAGTGCCAGGGCTCTGGGTTCAGTTCCTGGGGTGCTGTCTGTGTGAAGTATTTATGTCAGGTCCAGTCTTGTTAGACCTGGAGGACAGCTGTTCTGATGGGTTAGGTCCAGTCTTGTTAGATCAGGAGGACAGCTGGTGTACTGGTTAAGTTCTAGGGCACATCTGATGCAGTGGTCAAAATGCAAGAATTGTTATGCCACAAGGCCATCTGGCCCAGTTTCTTGAAATAAGTTTTGGAATACTCATGGAAAATATATAGTGTATACTGACAGAAAAAATAAATGCATCACCTCCTCCTCCACACTCTGGCCTTCCCAGAACAGGCTGGAGAGTGACTCATTCGTGAAGTGACCTGATGCCTCTGCTGACGAGTCCATCACAGCCTTTATCTGGCCTACACCAGTCAGGTGTGATGCCTAGGAGGTGCGAACAGAAGGCCTCTGACAGGTCACCTTGCTCTAAGTCCAGCAGCATGGAGTCTCTTTGTCCTGTCACTGATGTGGGCATTGTGTCTGCCAGCAGTTTCAGCAGCAGTAAGGGTGGCAGATCTGAAACAATCTCTCAGATGGACCAGTCTGGTGTGTCGGTCCTGTTCTGGTGAGGTCACTTGACGGCGACCGGATCTTGGACGGTCATCTGTCCTGCCGGTCTGCTAAAACCTTCTCTTCAGTCGGGACACAGTGGAGCAGTTTACTCCAGTGTCTGGCAACACTGGCACATGACATGCCTGCCTGCAGCATGCCAATGGCCCTCTCCCTTGCTTCTGGAGACATTCTAGGCATTATGTAATGCACAGAAAAGTAACTAAGTATGGCCTTTTTCTTGCAGTGACCTAAGTTTTGAATTAGGGTCTTTTTAAAGGTGAGCTGATCAGGCATTGTTCCACCTGGACCTTGTTTGGTAAAAGTGTAGCTAACAAGCTTTTGTGTGATTGGCAAGTTGCAATACCTCACTGCACAAGCTGTATTGCTGGTCAGAGGGCTTAAAACAAATTGACTACTTTTTGTGAAAGTACATAAGCTATAACTATAGTATTCTCATTCCAGAAAATGTTGGGGGTTTTTTCTATCGGTATACAAGTATATAGTTGCTCAGGTGGGTAGATGTGTCAGCATGCGTAGGCTGCAAAGGAACAAGTAATAGGTTTATTCCATGCTGAAAAAAAGAAGAAAGAAAACACAACGTTTCGGCTGTGGAGCCTTCTTCAGGTGTGAAAGAGACAGGGCAGTAAGCAAAGGTACTGTAGTGGGAGAACAAAGGCTGGAAGAGAGCAGGAGTGAGAGGTGGGAGCAGGGGACAGAAAGAGAGGCCAATCAAGAGGTGTGAAGTCAGAATAGGTGTAGAGAGGTGTGAAATGAAACTTCCAATGAATGGAGAAAATTTAGAAGAAGAGTAGTCTGTCGTTAAGAAAAGGGGGAAGGTATGATCCTAGCTGCAGGATAATTTTGGTTTTGGTAGTCTTTCTGATGTATGAGTTGGGAAAACTGTCTTTGAGAACACAGACGGAGAGATTAGAGTGGTCATGGCCGTCAGAGGTGAAATGAGAAACAATGGGCTTGGAGAGATCTTTAATCTTCACAGCCCTGACGTGTTCTCTGAAGCGGTCTCCGAATCTCCTTCCTGTTTCTCCAATGTAAATAGCTGGAGATACATGTAAAGAGATACAGTAAATAAGGTTGCTGGGGGTACAAGACGCCATCTGGGTGATTCGGAATTGCCCTGGGGGGCCTTGAATGAGTGTGGTGTTAGATGTGTACTTGCAGGTGATACAGCGAGCTCTGTTGCAAGGGAAAGTGCCTGGTGTGGATGGTTGCTGAGGGCAGTCAAGGTAGCTGTGAACAAGAAGGTTGCGCAGATTAGGTGATCGGCGATATGAGATGATGGGTCTGTCAGAAAAGAGGGCCCCAATGGAGGGATCATCCTGTAGGATGGAAAAGTTGTTGATAATAGTCCTGGGGATAGGAAGTGTGTTGGGGTGGGATATATGAATATCAATTACACAAAATATACAATAATGCTAATATTGTCAGTCATTTCCATCATAAGAAGGTTTAAATACAGTATGTATGCTTGTATTGGGTGTTAAAACTAGACTTAGGGGTTGATAATGGACAGTTTCTCTCATCATTCTGTTTCTTATGTTATCAGATGATCTGCGATTCATGGTGACACATCAGCAGGACTAACATGACATAACATAAATTTGAGCAACTATTATTGATCTTAAACAAAGTGCATAGTGAAGTGATTACATTTTTTTCCATTCATCTGTGTTGCAGGTTAATTTGAACAGTAATGTTGGGGATCTGCACTGATTTGTTTTCTAATTTTACTTTTTTAAATTGAGTCCTAAAGTAATATGTAGGTCACATATTCACCTGGCTTGAGACATTCTACAACATTGACGAGAAGCCTCACTTACAGTATACTAGTTGATTCACACAAAAAGAAATGTTTGGAAAAAAACAATAACCCATAAGAGGAGTACATTCTTTATTGCATTGATGATTCCTTCCTAGCCTTTGTCTGCTTACACTCTTTTTGGTTGGCTACATTTAGGGAACATTTTCATTCAAAGGGCTGAACTGCACTGAATATGGTACAGTGGTCCTGTAATGGTGGGAGCAGACAGGGAGAGACCACAATTATTCCTCATCGGTGCAAGTAAAACCTGGCAAAAGAAAATAAGTTATATGGGTCTTATTTCAGTAACCATGACTTATGGTTCCTTACCAAAACCTATGAGGAAGACAAATCTGTTCTAAAGCAGAGGAACAATACTGCAGCCTCTGCAAAAGCCAGAGAAGATGCCTGGTAAAGAATCACAGATAAATGTAATGTGAAAGTTATTCATGTAATGCAATGGAGTATCTCAGGATATTACAAAATATTTGAATTTGGTGAGCACTCATGTACATTATTTAAATCACTTTACTTACAACTTTATGGTATTGAAGTGGAGTTTGCATTTAAGCCTTTAAGTGATCGTACTGTATTTTAATACAGCATTAATTAATAAATATATAGCAATACATTATAATAAAAGTAATTATAAATGCAGCTTTACCATAACAGGAGGACCTGGCAGCAGATCAAGAACATAAGTGTAAGTGGTTCTTCCTTAGAACTTGTCCTGCCCAGTCCTGGGCTCATTATAACACACTGGGGTTGCTGTCTGTACACCCATCCCACTATCAATCAGTGACTCAGTCTCCCAATGAATCAGGCCAGTTGTAATCCCTGGAATGCCACTGAAAAGATGCTCTAACACTGATGTAACTGAAGTAGTGCTACAATCATCATTACTCTATGAGGTGTGTTAGCAGAACCCTAAAACCCCCAAAAGCCCTGAAACCTTAAACCTGTTACTTGTAAGAGTGTATAGCCTCAGTGGATCACAGAAGTTGAGTTTTTTTCTGAAATGGCCTGTGGGAGGCTACTCTTGAGTCAACTGCTGGTTATTTCAGTACAAACGTTTCAGAAGGACAATGTTACATTAATGACCAGTAGCACAGTGGTGAGTCATTAATACACTTGGATGTTGCTGTATTTACCCTTTTTTGCATTTTACAAAATGCATTTTGCATTTTGCATCCATTGAAATATTCTCTCTTTTCAACTATTTAACAATTTCACTGTTAAAAATATTATGACAAAACAACAGCCAATGTTAAAAAATGAAGACAAAATAAAAAATCTTGGTGTTCAAGCAAATAATAATAGTGAATAATTTCACAACTTAACATCGGGAAATATATGAGAGTTCTGCATTGTCTTTTTTAAAATTGCCACAGTTGTGACGATAAAGCAGTTTAAACCCTAACCCTGGTTATTATAACATTTTTGCATCTTTTACTAAAGACTCTGTCCATTTGTATTTTTTGGATATTCTTTGTTTCAAGTTAAAAGGAAGACATTAGTATTCATGGCTGAACTGTGAACTTATATTTTCTTTTCCAGAAGTAGACTTTCCCTCGAAAATCTGCACAATTCATGTTTGTACAGCTCATGTACAGTATCCCGAACACATAAAATTATAAGTGTTAATATTATGATAAATTAGAAGTAGGCTGAATACTAGTGAATTTATCAAAATGGAAACTATATGTGATGTACAATAAAGCTTATTCTGTTCTTATACTGTTCAATTTGATCATTAATTTCTACACCCATGCTTTATTCCTGCCAAATATCTTTCATCACAGAGAACACTGAAAACAGCTGTTTCATAACCCACATTCTTTCACATTTACACACCTTTTCCAAGGAATATGACAGCTAGCCCGGCCAACAGGTTAGGTTTCTTTTCTTACAAATATGCAAAATAACTAAATTAAAAGTTTAAATGAGTTTTAAAATACATTTTAAAAAGTATTAAAGTATATATAGTGAACAGTGATTGCATTACAGTTTGACATCGTGTTGAATAAA